CTGGAACTCCTCCAGTAAAAAAACCCCAAAGCTGCTGGTGAGCCTCCACCTTTGGCCCCCAAAGTCTATCCGCAAGGAGTGCAGCAGGGTACCCCAGTTTTGGTTAATAAAGTTCAGATGCAGCAACCTTCCCCGATCATTGTGACCGGGGGCACGAGCCTTAGCAACCAGCCACTGCCAGTCAATGGAAATCAAAGCATCATGTTGACCTTTCCTGTCACTGTTGGAAGTTCGGGGATCATGCTTGCAACTCCAGTGAATCTTGCAGAAAACCAAATTTCTGGGGTGAATCCTGCCAACAGAATGCCAGTCGGCAAGAACCCACGCCTTGTACAGCCAAACAGTGTTCCCCTCAACGTTGCACCTCAGAATCTTAATACTAAATTAGGTCAGGTGACCATGAGGCCTCTAATTGGTCAAACTAATAGACTTGCAGTACCTGTTTCTCACGGGCAGGCAAAACCCATAACGGTCAACGTTAACCAGCCTGGCAGTGTTGCAGGAACTCTGAGTTTAAATAATGCCAACCTCCAAAAGGTTAACGGTGGTACTCTTAAGGCTGTTCCTGTGACAGCCGCTGGGAACCAGCCGGTAGGACAACCAATCCCGCTTTTTGTGGATGCCAATTCTGGTCTTATCCTTACTGGATCTGCAGTACCTTCCAAGGATGCCGTACCCTCTGGTATAGGGAATGCTACAGTGGTGACTGTTAATGGAGGGGTTGTTGCTGGAAACGTTGGCCCTGTGGCCATGGGTGGAAAGTTGGCATTCAGCCCTGTTAACGTCAATGGACTTGGCAATACGGCATTTATCACAGTAGATGGGCCGGTGGGTATAGGGAACAATTCTTCCGTCACACTTGCCAGCAACCCAACCAATATCAACAATAAAGGAGCATTAAATATTGGCAGTCCTACTATCCTCACGTTGAATGGTGGCTTGGGCATTGGGAATGCCCACCCTGTTGGTGCGCCCATAGCAAACATTGCTTCCATCAATACAAACGGCACCTTGCAGGTTGCACCATCGGCGGCGCCGGCTGTGGTAAGCGGGCAGCAAAACAGTGGGATTATTATAAGAAAGGTTGGAGAGCCCAGTACTGTATCTCAGAACCCTCAGCCCAGTGAGGACCCGCCGGTGGTGGTTGTAGAGAGACTCTTTAACTGTAGCGAGTGCGGAGAAAAGTTTAACTCCCTCGAGAACTTAACTTCCCACCAGGTGGTACATAAACGGCCAAACGCCCAGCCAGACGGCAAAGTCGGTGAGGCAACTTCCAAAGACAATGAGGTTCTTCCAGGCGGGGCGGACGACGACGCTCCCACCATCTTGTACACCACCCAAGGAGATGACGGCAGCACGGTTTACGTTGTCACCGTCTAGACGCAACCCGTTGAAGAATACTGAAGCTCTTAATTTTTGTAGCAGCGTTCTGTTTTTAGGGGTTTTTTTTTTGCCTTTTTTTTTTTTGGGACTTTTTTTTATTATCTGTGTAGACCTTTATTCCACTTTTAGTGATTTTAGAGTATCAGATACTCCGTGTAATGTCTCTCGTCTCTTTAGAACCGGTCGTTTCCTTTGTAGAAGACTAGAACAACGTGTTAGGTACAGAGAAAAAAAAAACAACTGTTTATTAACAAATAACTTCTAGAAAAGGGAAAATGTAAACTTCGCCTAGTATAACAGATGGTAGAGATGACGTGTAAAGATGTACATAATGGGGTCTCGGCTCGGTTCCTCAGACACTTTGTATTATAACACTGCAAATAATGTCTACTGTAACCTGGAAAAGGGGAAAAGTAGACGAAGCCTTTTCTTGCGCTAACGTAGAATGCGTAGACTACATGCAAACTGCCTGATTTATGGGGATTTTCTAAGTCTGCACAGAATTTGGGGTGCTGTGTACATGGGTAGAAGAATACAGCTTTCCCAGTCCCATCCCCCCCTCCCTGGTCCATGCCAGCACTGCTCTTCTCTGTGCAGTACATCCGGGATGGATCAGACTACTTGTGAATGGTCAGTGCCAGCGCAGGTCTTTGTGCAGTACATCCAGGATGGATTAGAGTGATTGTTATTGGTCAGCACCAGCACAGCTCTTCTCTGCAGTACATCCGGGATGGATCAGAGTGATTGTGATTGGTCAGCACAGCTCTTCTCTGCAGTACATCCAGGACAGATCAGAGTACTTGTGATTGGTCAGTGCCAACACAGCTCTTCTCTGCAGTACATCCAGGGCAGATCAGAGTACTTGTGACTGGTCAGTGCCAGAGCAGCTCTTTGTGCAGTACATCCGGGATGGATCAGAGTGATTATGATTGGTCAGCACCAGCACGGCTCTTCTCTGCAGTACATCCAGGACAGATCAGAGTACTAGTGATTGGTCAGTGCCAGCGCAGCTCTTTGTGCAGTACATCCGGGATGGATCAGAGTGATTGTGATTGGTCAGTACCAGCAAGGCTCTTCTTTGTGCAGTACATCTGAGATGGATCAGAGTGATTGTGATTGGTCGACGCCAGAACAGCTCTTCTCCTTCTCTGTGTAGTACATCCAGGACAGATCAGAGTACTTGTGATTGGTCAGTGCCAGCTCAGCTCTTCTGTGTGCAGTACATCCAGGATGGATCTGAGTGATTGTGATTGGCCAGCACAGCTGTTCTCTGTTCAGTACATCCAGGACAGATCAGCGTACTTGTGATTGGTCAGTGCCAGCACAGCTCTTCTGTGTGCAGTACATCCAGGATGGATCAGAGTGATTGTGATTGGTTAGCACCAGCAAAGCTCTTTTCCCTTTTCTCTGTGCAGTGCATTTGGGGCGGATCAGAATGATTCTGATTGGTCAGCACCAGCACAGAGCATCACTCTGATCCCTCCTGGAAGCGCTGCAGGAATTTTAGATCCCAGGACTGCTACATGGACTGCACGTGTACTGACCGCTCGCCACGTACAGCAGGGACCCGGGGTGTTGGGGAGGGTGTACGCTGTGCACTCACCTTCTTTACATTTTTTTTTCTGAAAAAGTGAACTATCCCTTTAAACTAGAGGGGGGGGCAGAACACTACGGTTTATGTCCAAGAACACTACAGACCTATGAAAAGTTGTACGATCGGCCTTCACTCAGTTGTAATAAAAACAAAACAAAGTAGCAAATTTTTGGCCTTGAAAAAGAGAGAATTTCTTACGCCGAGCTGACTTCCTGTTTCCAATGCCTCCGATTTAAAAAAAAAAAAAAAAAAAAAAAAAAAAAAAAGAGGAAGGATTCTCAACTGTCACTGAAGAAACGATAAAGAAAAGGGTTCCTGGCTGAGCAGGTTGAAGGCCTTTCACAGGCCGAGGCCTAACTCCCAACGTGTATTCTGGTGGCAAAACTGAGAGGCAAAAGACACATTTTTGGTCCCAATTATTCTGTCATTTTAAATTTCAAAGCCGAACTGGGAATTAGGAAAAATATCTTTGCACCGATCTTACCCCCCCCCCCCCATGCCAATCTAGCCAATGAGCGATCCCTTGGCAATCACGTACAGTGCAGGGCTGATATCTGTGTATTGTACATGAAGGTGGCTGGTGAGTGAATGCAGCTCAAGGGCCTAAAGCCAGCCATAGGCGGATCGAACCTTGGTCAGTTCAGCAGGGACCGGCCAAGATTCGATCCATCTGCGGGCAGGCTCGTTCTAAAGTCCATCCATCGATTGACTTCAGCACATGCAGCCTGTTGGGGTTTTTTGTTTTGCATGTGATCACTGCCGGCGACGAGTCACCAGCTGCAGTCATTGTGTTCTGCCGGCTGAACACGGTAGTGCTGGGGGAGGGATTCCCCCATCAACACACTCTTGGTGGAAGGGAAGAAAGTTGTGTAATCTCCGGGCTGCTTTGGTAAGGAGGGATCCTGCAGGAGTGAGGTGTGTGCTACTCTGGGCTTCCCTCGACTCAACCCTTGCAGCGCGGGAAGGCCCCAGTGCAAGGGTACAAGTCCCTGCACTGAACTTCAGAAAGCCGGTCAATCTTCCCGGGGCCGGCAATGGAAGGGTTACCTGCTCGTAAAGCTCTTACCAGTCCCTCTGCACTGCTGGACCAGTCCCTGCAGCCTCTCAACGGTCTACGGACCTCTGACGTCATCAAGGGACCATACCCGTCTGCAGGGGAAGCGGAGGATCCGGTACGAAGAAGCGGTTTTCTATCCTGTAGACCAGGGGTGTCGAAGTGGTGGCCCACCAGCTTTTATAGTACAAGTCCCATCAAGACCCAGTTGATACTACAAGTCCCAGAATGTCTCTGCCTTTAGGGGCCATGCTTGTAACTGTCAATCTTGCAATGCCTCATGGGACTTGTAGTTTGGCCACAGCTGGAGGGCCACCAGTTTGACCCCCGTGCCGTAGACAGATGCGAGCGGTTAACCCTTGCAGTGCCTTCTTAGCCCCATAGCAAAGGACATTTTTCTTTTTTTTTGCAGGATTTTAAAAGCAAGCAGGCAAAAAAAACCCCAAAAACTTGAATACACGCTAAGACGCTCTCTGTCCCGGTGCAGGGATGCAGAGCATTTCGTGTACCAGCAGTGGACATATTGGATTCGGGTAGCATAGTGAGAGTGCGCAGAACATTTGCCCAGAGAACCTTTTGGACGTCGTTCAGATCTTTGGGTTGTGATATTTCTCAACATTTGCAATCCTGACCTGTATATGGAAGGCCACCGAGGCAGTCAATGTTTAGGGTTGGCCAAACGCTGCATGCTCTTATTAGGTTCCTATCCCAGTAGAATGTCCCATCTACCAGTGTCCCATCTACTAGGGCCATCTTCCAGGGCCATGTACCAGGTGCATCTACCAGGTGCATCTACCAGGGCCATGTACCAGGTCCCATCTACCAGTGTCCCATCTACTAGGGCCATCTTCCAGGGCCATGTACCAGGTGCATCTACCAGGTGCATCTACCAGGGCCATGTACCAGGTCCCATCTACCAGTGTCCCATCTACTAGGGCCATCTTCCAGGGCCATGTACCAGGTGCATCTACCAGGGCCATGTACCAGGTCCCATCTACCAGTGTCCCATCTACTAGGGCCATCTTCCAGGGCCATGTACCAGGTGCATCTACCAGGGCCATGTACCAGGTCCCATCTACCAGTGTCCCATCTACTAGGGCCATCTACCAGGTCCATGTACCAGTTGCATCTACCAGTGTCCCATCTACTAGGGCCATCTACCAGGTCCATGTACCAGTTGCATCTACCAGTGTCCCATCTACCAGGGCCATGTACCAGCTCCCATCTACCATTGTTCCATCTACTAGGGCCATCTACCAGGGCCATGTACCAGTCCCATTTACCGTGTCCCATCTACCAGGTCCCATCTACCAGGGCCATGTCCAGGTGCATCTACGAGGGCCATGTTCCAGGTGCATCTACGAGGGCCATGTACCAGGTGCATCTACCAGGGCCTTGTGCCAGGTGCATTTACCAGGGCCTTGTGCCAGGTGCATCTACCAGGGCCATGAACCAGGTGCATCTACCAGGGCCATGAACCAGGTGCATCTACCATGTCCATGTACCAGGTGCATCTACCAGGTCCATGTACCAGGTGCATCTACCAGGGCCATGTATCAGTCTTATCTACCAGGTTACATGTACCAGGTGCATCTACCAGGTCCCATGTACCAGTCCCATCTACCAGGTCCCATGTACCAGTCCCATGTACCACTCCCATCTACCAGGTCCCATGTACCACTCCCATCTACCAGGTCCATGTACCAGGTGCAACTACCAGGGCCATGTATCAGTCTTATCTACCAGGGCCATGTATCAGTCTTCTCTACCAGGTTCCATGTACCAGGTGCATCTACCAGGTCCCATGTACCAGTCCCATCTACCAGGTCCCATGTACCAGTCCCATGTACCACTCCCATCTACCAGGTCCCATGTACCACTCCCATCTACCAGGGCCATGTACCAGTCCATCTGTTCTTCTGCTCGGAAAACGTTAGTGCACCTTGTAGCTCTACCGACCAGTAATTCGGATCTTGGCCTGGCAGAGCTCAGAAGCCGTCCATTCATCTTGCTCCTTGCAGTATATCGGGCATTGGTGTTTAACCAAAGGCGGTTCTGTACCGAAGCTGAAATCTGGGCTATACAAATATTGTCCAAATACGAGAGCCCCGTGTATTCTTCCTTGAATTTTGGTGTCCTTTTGAGTAGTTCTCGCAGATCTGCGCAGTAATCCAACATGTCACAACTTCTGTACTTTGCCTCTGTGGAGGAACTTCTGTAATAAATGACTGCTCACTGCTGCTGTCCCTCATTGTGCAGGGTGACTGGTCTGGTCTCCGCCCCTCCTGTAGTTTTCTGCAGGCAGCCTGTAGTGGGTGGAGTCTGCTGGGCCCCTTCCTTTGCAAGGTGATTGGTCTTGTCTCTGCCCCCTCCTGTAGTTTTCTGCAGGCAGTGGGCAGTGTCTGTTGGGCTCCTCCTGTGTTCAGGGTGACTGGTCTGGTCTCCACCCCCTCCTGTAGTTTTCTGCAGGCAGCCTGTAGTGGGTGGAGTCTGCGGGCCCCTTTCTTTTGTGCAGGGTGACTGGGCTTGTCTCCGTCCCTTCTTTAATTTTCTGCAGGCTGTCGTAGTGGGTGGAGTCTGCTCTGCCCCTCCCCTTTTGCAGGGTGATTGGTCTGGTCTCCGCCCCTTCCTGTAGTTTTCTACAGGCAGCCTGTAGTGGGTGGAGTCTGCTCGGCCCCTCCCCTTGTGCGGGGAGACTGGTCTGGTCTCCGCCCCTTCCTGTAGTTCTCTGCAGACAGCCTATAGTGGGTGGAGTCTACGGGCCCCTCCCCTTGTGCAGGGTGACTGGTCTGGTCTCCGCCCCCTCCTGTAGTTTTCTGCAGGCAGCCTATTGTGGGTGGAGTCTGCAAGCACCTCCCCTTGTGCAGGGTGACTGGTCTTGTCTCTGCCCCCTCCTGCAGTTCTCTGCAGACAGCCTATAGTGGGAGGAGTCTACGGCCCCTCCCCTTGTGCAGGGTGACTGGTCTTGTCTCTGCCCCCTCCTGTAGTTTTCTGCAGGCAGCCTATAGTGGGTGGAGTCTACGGCCCCTCCCCTTGTGCAGGGTGACTGGTCTGGTCTCCGCTCCCTCGTGTAGTTTTCTGCAGGCGGCCTGTAATGGGTGGAGCCTGCTCGGCCCCTCCCACTGCTCTGCTTATGCTGTATGCAGGACAGCGATGGTATTGCCACCTTGATCGTGGTGACATCTGGTCCTGCGGAGACCATCGGCGCACACTAAGCGGTTTTATGTCCTTTATATTTAAATAAAAGGGTTTTTTTTTGTGTCCAGAATTCAGTTTTAATTTAAAAAACACAATTTCTACTAAATGTAAGTATGTTATTTTTTTTAAAAAAAATCTATCATTCCTTCTGTACTATGTGTTGCCTTTTTGGTGTTTTTGGATTCCAGACATTTTCTGACAGACATGCCGATACAATGTGTGCACATATTAAGGTTCCAGATTTGACCCAAATTGCCGATTTTACGCACTTGCTGTTCTAGGTTTTGTTTCCCAATATATTGATTTGTAAATGCTCCCTCCATCGATCACCTCTAAGGACCGCGATTCGCAACCCGCGACAGGGACTGCAGAGATAGTCAGCCTTCTAGAAGGCTTCGGATCAGATCTGAGGTATAGGTCGGCCCCGAGAGGGGTGGGAGACTCTGTGTGGCACTGCTGACCAAGAAACAGAAGATGTGAGTACTTCCCATGTACTTACAGAACTGTGCGCAGAAACAAGAATTCAGAATATGCAGTGATATCCATAGCCACGTAAAGATCTGGGGGAAAAAAAAAAAAAGTTTCCCTTTCAAGTGGGTGTAAACCTAAGACATGAAATATGAACAAAGCACATCCCTCTATAGTAGTGTGTACTTGTGTCAGTCCAGAGCACTAAGTGCCTCCTTCCTCTGCTCAGCATGAGTCATTTCTGACAAGTTTTCCTGACACCAAGAGAAAAATGGTGACGGGAGGGAGCCTCAGGTCTGTTCCCTGTGTGCCCTTCCCTCCTGGAAGCTCTCAGAGCCCTCGTAACTGAGCTCTGCAGAGTGTACCTTCAGCTCTACGTCACTTTATCCTGAATTTTCCGACGAGCTTAAAAATTCAGTGCTCTGAATGGATATAGGGAAGAGAAGACTGCAGATAAACAGGTACAACTTTTGTAGGAGTATTTGTTTCATCTCTCTATTACCTAAAGCCAGTCGCTTCAATGGGTATATGGAGAGCTTACAACCACTTTAAAGGAAACCTGTGGCCAGGCTATGGACCTTTGTAGGTATTCATATATTGAATTCATATATTGAAGGATGAATTGCTCCATGGTGACTCATATTGACACCTAGTTGGCCCTCTTTTGAAACCGAGTTCCTCTTTCTTCCTGAGTTTGGTGGTTTTCTTTAATCCAGTGTACAGATCTGTATAAAAGAGGTAATTGAATACAAAACGGTTATAACCCACTTTTTTTTTTTTTTTTTTTAAATCAAGCCTTTAAATTAACTTTTCTTAACCAGGGTTCTATGGAACCTAGGGTTTCTCCAGAGGTTGCTAGGGGTTCTTTGGTCTTTCTTTGATGAGTGGTGGGTTGGGTTGATTTTCTACCTCATGGTGCCTGCAAACTTCTGCCCCAAAGTGACTCTGCAGAGGCAATGGCGTGGGTCCAGCAAAACCTCATCTCTCAGGTAAGTATCCACTGACACCAATAATATGTTTAGCTGTCTACAATGGAGCCATTCTCCCGGTGACAAGAAAAGTAAGAAGGGGGTTTTCTCCCAGTGACCACCCAAAATTGGAAGTTCTCCCAGTGACCACCAAAATTGGAAGTTCTCCCAGTGACCACCAAAATTGGACGTTCTCCCAGTGACCACCAAAATTGGAAGTTCTCCCAGTGACCACCAAAATTGGAAGTTCTCCCAGTGACCACCAAAATTGGAAGTTCTCCCAGTGACCACCAAAATTGGAAGTTCTCCCAGTGACCACCAAAATTGGAAGTTCTCCCAGTGACCACCAAAATTGGAAGTTCTCCCAGTGACCACCAAAATTGGAAGTTCTCCCAGTGACCACCAAAATTGGAAGTTCTCCCAGTGACCACCAAAATTGGAAGTTCTCCCAGTGACCACCAAAATTGGACGTTCTCCCAGTGGCCACCAAAATTGGACGTTCTCCCAGTGGCCACCAAAATTGGAAGTTCTCCCAATGGCCACCAAAATTGGAAGTTCTCCCAATGGCCACCAAAATTGGAAGTTCTCCCATTGGCCACCAAAATTGGAAGTTCTCCCAGTGACCACCAAAATTGGAAGTTCTCCCAGTGACCACCAAAATTGGAAGTTCTCCCAGTGACCACCAAAATTGGAAGTTCTCCCAATGGCCACCAAAATTGGAAGTTCTCCCAATGGCCACCAAAATTGGAAGTTCTCCCATTGGCCACCAAAATTGGAAGTTCTCCCAACTCAATGAACCCCAAAGTAAGGTGTTCTTCTCCCAATGATGACCAAAATAGGATGTTCTCCCCAATGACCACCATTTTGTTTCCCCAATAACCTTCTAAATAAGTTCTTTTGATGACCACCAAAATAAGAAGGGGTTCTTTTCCCAATGACCACCTTAATTAGGCGGTTTTCTCCCTATGACCTTCCTAATTAGAAGGCGGTCTTCTTTCAATGACCACCAAAATAGAAGTTCTTATCCCAATAACCTCCTAATGTTCTGCCAATGACCACCTATATTAAGGGGTTCTTCTCCAAATGACCTAAAAGTTAAGGATTCTTCTTCCAATAACCACAAAAATAGGGACTTCTCCCAATGCCTTAAATATGAATTTCTGCCCATGACCACCAAAATAGGAAGAGGTTCTTCTCCAAATAACCTCCTGAAAAGAATAAGGGGTTCTTCTCCCCAATAACCACCAAAATAAGTACTTCTCCCAATGACCTCCTAAACAGGAATTTCTGCCCATGATCATGAAAATAAGTTCTCTCATTAAGCACCAAAATTTGAAGGGGTTCTTCTCCCTGTGATGACCATATTAAGATGTTCTCCCAATGACTATCAAAATAAGGCGTTCTACCAATAACCACCAAAATAAGTAATTCTCCCAATGACCTCCTAAGTAGGAGTTTCTGCCCATGATCATCAAAATTAAGTTCTCCCATTAAGTACCAAAATTTGAAGGGGTTCTCCCAATGATGACCATATTAAGATGTTCTCCCCATGATTATCAGAATAAGAAGGCATTCTTCTACCAATAACCACCAAAATAAGTACTTCTCCCAAAGACCACCAAAATAAAAAGTTCTCCCCTTAAATGTTAAAATTTGAAGTGGTTCTCCTTCCATTGACCACAGAAAAAAGGAAAGGGTTCTTTTCCCAATAACCACCAAAGTAAGGTGACGCTACAATGACCATGAATGTAATTGGACATTACTAACCACCAATTTAAAGGATGCACTTCAAATTTTTCTGATTATTTTTTGTTTTGCTTCATTTATCATTGAAGTTTCTCCTCATAACAAAAATGACATTATTATATCTACAACTATCTGAAATAATGTACTGTGAGGAGTAGATATACGTAATAATTGTTAGTAAGGGTTTCCTGAGACCTGAAAATTTATTTGAAAGGTTCCTCAGTTGTTAAGGATAAGTATGGCGACTCGAAAAATTGTTGCATTTGTTACTTTTCAAAGCCAGTATAGAGGAAAGTAGAGGTAAAAGGCTCTTGTGGATATATCATATTATGTATTCTTCGTGATCTGCGTACCCTCGGGGGCGTGGCAGGGGTGCATCTTTTGCCTATATACCTTCTAAAATCTTTCCCTCTGACTCCTCTCCGAGTGCTGAAGCAGTCAGGCTTGTGTTAAATCGTATTTACTACTGGTAAATCATATAGAAGTTCTTGAATGTCAATACCCTGGACACTTGAAGACCTTGGATCAGATCTTCTCTGCCGTGAAATGTCTCCGTAGATTTTAAGACCTTGGATCAGATCTTCTCTGCCGTGAAATGTCTCCGTAGATTTTAAGACCTTGGATCAGATCTTCTCTGCCGTGAAATGTCCTCGTAGATTCTAAGACCTTGGATCAGATCTTCTCTGCCGTGAAATGTCCTCGTAGATTCTAAGACCTTGGATCAGATCTTCTCTGCCGTGAAATGTCCTCGTAGATTCTAAGACCTTGGATCAGATCTTCTCTTAGAACAGATATTCTCTGCCGTGAAATGTCTCCGCAGATTTCAAGACCTTAGAACAGATCTTCTCTGCCGTGAAATGTCTCCGCAGATTTCAAGACCTTAGAACAGATCTTCTCTGCCGTGAAATGTCTCCGCAGATTTCAAGACCTTAGAACAGATCTTCTCTGCCGTGAAATGTCTCCATAGATTTCAAGACCTTAGAACAGATCTTCTCTGCCGTGAAATGTCTCCGCAGATTTCAAGACCTTAGAACAGATCTTCTCTGCCGTGAAATGTCTCCGCAGATTTCAAGACCTTAGAACAGATCTTCTCTGCCGTGAAATGTCGCCGTAGATTTCAAGACCTTAGAACAGATCTTCTCTGCCGTGAAATGTCTCTGCAGATTTCAAGATCTTAGACCAGATCTTCTCTGCCGTGAAATGTCTCCGTAGATTTTAAGACCTTAGAACAGATCTTCTCTGCCGTGAAATGTCTCTGCAGATTTCAAGATCTTAGACCAGATCTTCTCTGCCGTGAAATGTCTCCGTAGATTTTAAGACCTTAGACCAGATCTTCTCTCATTCACAGTATTCACGTGATCAGGAACCCAGCCTGCTTCCTTTCACAAACCAATAAAGCTCCAGTGGGAGCCAGGGCAAAGATGTTGAAACAAAACTATACTCCCCTCTGGTGGTGCAGTCCCTTTTCGTCTGCCTACAGGTTTGACCAGTCTTCTGGATTCTGATCTTCAGCCATTTTGATTGGCCAGGCCATAATGACATCACTGTTGCGCATGCATGGGAATTCATTCATCTCGGCTGATTCTGAAACTAGACACTGAGTATGGAGGTGAGACTAGCATGTCTCTACTGCTGCGTTTATCAACTTGGAGGAACCCTTGAAATAACTTTCTGGTCTCTGGGAACCCCTGCTAATAATTACTATATCTACAGATCCCTCTACATTAGTGTGATGGCCACTGGGAAGAATGTCCCTTACATTGGTGATAAGTGGGAAGAATGTCCCTTACATTGGGGGTCAGTGGGAAGAATGTCCCTTACATTGGGGGTCAGTGGGAAGAATGTCCCTTACATTGGGGGTCAGTGGGAAGAATGTCCCTTACATTGGTGGTCAGTGGGAAGAATGTTCCTTACATTGGGGGTCAGTGGGAAGAATGTCCCTTACATTGGAGGTCAGTGGGAAGAATGTCCCTTACATTGGGGGTCAGTGGGAAGAATGTCCCTTACATTGGGGGTCAGTGGGAAGAATGTCCCTTACATTGGGGGTCAGTGGGAAGAATGTCCCTTACATTGGAGGTGAGTGGAAAGAATGTCCCTTACGTTGGTGGTCAGTGGGAAGAATGTTCCTTACATTGGGGGTCAGTGGGAAGAATGTTCCTTACGTTGGTCAGTGGGAAGAATATTCCTTACATTGGGGGTCAGTGGGAAAAATGCCCCTTACATTGGGGGTCTGTGGGAAGAATGTCCCTTACATTGGGGGTCAGTGGGAAGAATGTCCCTTACATTGGGGGGTCAGTGGGAAGAATGTTCCTTACGTTGGTGGTCAGTGGGAAGAATATTCCTTACATTGGGGGTCAGTGGGAAGAATGTCCCTTACATTGGCGGTCAGTGGGAAGAATGCTCCTTACATTGGGGGTCAGTGGGAAGAATGTCCCTTACATTGGGGGGTCAGTGGAAAGAATGCCCCTTACATTGGGGGTCAGTGGGAAGAATGTCCCTTACATTGGGGGTCAGTGGGAAGAATGTCCCTTACATTGGGGGTCAGTGGAAAGAATGTCCCTTACATTGGGGGTCAGTGGGAAGAATGTCCATTACATCGGGGGTCAGTGGGAAGAATGCTCCTTACATTGGGGGTCAGTGGGAAGAATGTCCCTTACATTGGTGGTCAGTGGGAAGAAACCCCCTCTTACAGATAGCTTAAGAGATCATTGGTATCCAAGGGAACCTGTCTGAGAGGCAGAAACTGCTTTACTCAAGGAACCCTTAGCTACCTCTGGAGGAACCCTTGGTTTCCACAAGACTACTGCATTAAAAATCCTGCGTGTTCACAAATATTGGAGTAAAGTTCCACTTTAATGGCACACACTGCGTTGTCTTGTAGCACATATACAAGGCATGCCTTTGGTGATAACAGACAGTACCAGTGTGCTTATATGAGCTTTCAACCAATCTTTCAGGTCCTAAAATGTCTGGGATCAGGTGCAGCCCTCTGGCAACAGATCTAAATAGATGCCACCATCCTTGGTGGACAGGTGGGATTAGTTCCTCTTTAGTGATCGGCAGGGAGAATGTGTAATTCCTATATATATCTCATTAACTACTTTTGTTTGGATTTCCTACGAAAAAACCTACGGGTGGGTGAACTGGGCCCCTAGCATTGACCTATTGTCTCCGATGGCGGTAGGGGACATCTGAGACTGCTGGGACTGGTTCTCCATGCATCGATCTAGCTGGTTATGTTGGTGTTCTCAATACGTATGATGATTTTGTGTGTCTGTAGTGGGACATCGGAGCGTAAGCTCTTCTGAACAGACAGATGGGGACTGTAGAAGTTGTTGGTGCTCCATCAGTTGGTACAATAAAAATGGTGGTGTAGAGACTAGGAGTGGTGCTTGGTGGTGTGCTGCCAGTTAAACATTGACCAATACACCCTTCTAGTTCCCTACAGAGAAGGACGTCGCCGTGCATGTATGCCGCATATCAGATCTATACATAGCTGACCTCATAAATCCAACGGCTCAGTTTATCAGTATGGAAGTCATTAGTAGGAGGTAAATCCCCCGTCTGTTTCCATAACCTCCCAACAGCCCTGCTGGCTCATATATAGACCCGTTAGACACTTCATTAGACCTCCTCATATCTCTGCTACAGATGGGAGCATGCCATTGGTAACCTGGAAATTCTGGCTGCCATGCCAATCCACTGGCTTCAGTACTGAATCTTTAAAGGACAGCCTTTCGTACAGTTAATCGCTAAGTGCAGTCCGCCTGGTAAATGCTTACCATCCTCCTCCTTGTTTCAGTGATCTTCACTGTCCCGCCAAAACAGTCCCCATCCAGCTCCTTCTAGTGCACGTGCACACCCCGTTCTCCTGGCACCCCCAAACTGTCCAGCTGAGGAACTAATGGTGGCCATGGTGTGCATATATAGCAAGAAGAGGACCATGTGAGGACATACTTATTACAAAGACTCTACGGCAGGGGTGTCCAAACTATGGCCCGCCAAAGTACTACAATTCCCATCATGCCTCTGGGTGTCTTGCCTGTTGATGTCAGAGTCTTGCAAGGCCTCATGGGACTTGCAGCTCCTCAACACCTGGAGGGCCGTAGTTTGGACACCCTTGCTCTACGGTGTGCATATGCAGTGGGTGGAGGTCATGTGCCAGGCAGGACCACAAAGTCAATATCACTGAAATTGGGGGAGGGCAGGTATTTTACCAGGGGGGGGTGGTATTAAGTAAAGTTGTAAATGGAAACAGCTTTATGTGGCTTTAATATTTCTTTGCATGCAGCCAGTGACTGTAAAACTCCTGCGGTTTTATAGGTGAGGAGCTCAGGAGGCGTTTCTGTCATGGTAGGTTCTCTTTAGGTTCTGTGTAGAGCAGTGGTTCCCAACTACTGGGCCATGACCCACTGCCTGGGCTGTTGCCTTCCTTCTCCAGATGTAGATCCCTTAGCCTTCCAGCTCCTACTGAGGCCTCCTGAGATCCCTCAGCCTCCACAGAGCCCTCCAACCTGTTGTAGAGCCTCCAGCCCTCCATAGTGCCCCCAACCTCCAACTGTGTCCCACAGTATCCACCAGTTTCCTCCAGACATCATCTCTAGAGGACCACCAAGTCTGCAGTAGAGTTTCCTAACCCCCTCCAGAACCCTCATCCCCCACACAGTGACTCCCAGCCCCATCCAGAGCCTTGCAGCGTTTCAGAACATGTTTTGCATTCCTGTACTTTAAATTGTATTTTTTTTTTTTCTTACTGTTGGGGCATGGAAGGTTTTGGAGGAATTTACCTGGACCCGGTCTCAAAAAGTTTTGAGAACTGCTGGCTTGGAGTGTTAATCTTTTCTTGCTTCCACACAGTCATTTCTTCCACCACCTTTGGCCATCAGCTCATGGAAGGAGGGGTTCCCGTGCGTGTAGATACGTCCTCTCTGTAGGTATCTGCCAGTTTCCAATTTTTCCAATCTCACAGCCTGCTGTAGAAGATCCTACTGGGACTTGTAGTCCTTTACGGACTCGGCCTATAGATGTAGCCAGGACACGGTGAGATGTTTTTGTGCCTGGTACCCGCCGCGCAAGCTGTTTAATGCGGTGAATGGCGCGCTGGTCTCCATTTTTGTTCTGGAGACCTGTTGATCCAGAAACCGCTGTGCACACTTCACCTTCAGATCTGACCGCTGCCAACATGTAAATATTTTCTATCAGTGTTTTATCTATACCCGATGTAGTATTACTTTACTGGATTGTTACCTTCTACCTCAACATGTGGTCCTGGGGTACACAATGTTATTGTTTGGATTTTACACATCACTTTGTATTCAATAAATTCTTTAAGTGTGTGCGTAGTCCGCTTTGTGTGCGTTGTGAGGTGGGGGGGTGGGGGGGGTTGTAACAGTCGTTTCTGCCCCAATTACCATCATTTGGTCACTCGAAACTGCCGGAGGTTCCCCGTGACCCCTTCAATGTCATGCAGCTTTCATGAGAAGGTTCCTAATCTTGGCTCGTGATTGGTCAGAATTTGATTAGCAACACGGCTGCTTTATTGGTGGATTTATCAAAAATCAAACATCAGAAGGGCTAAAAAACGGAAGCTTTTATGGGAATTTATTTGCTTAGCCACTTGAAAACCACGCCCTATTTTGTAACTTTTTGTCAGTAAAAGTCAGCAAGTTTTACTAGAAAACTAGCTAGGATCCCCAAACATACATTTTGTAATATGTGTGGAGATATATATTGATATATATATACAGTGGGACAAAAAAGTACTTAGTCAGCCCCCAATTGTGCAAGTTCTCCCACTTACAAAGATGAGAGAGGCCTGTAATTGGCATCATAGGGAGACCTCAACTATGAGAGACAAAATGAGAAAACAAATCCGGACAATCACATTGGCTGATCTGGAAAGAATTGAATGGAATGTTCGCCCCTCACACAGAAACGATCGGTCTAACAATGGAATGTTCGCCCCTCGCACAGAAATGATCGCTCTAACAATGGAATGTTCGCCCCTCGCACAGAAATGATCGCTCTAACAATGGAATGTTCGCCCCTCACACAGAAATGATCGGTCTAACAATGGAATGTTCGCCCCTCGCACAGAAATGATCGCTCTAACAATGGAATGTTCGCCCCTCGCACAGAAATGATCGCTCTAACAATGGAATGTTCGCCCCTCGCACAGAAATGATCGCTCTAACAATGGAATGTTCGCCCCTCGCACAGAAATGATCGGTCTAACAATGGAATGTTCGGTGTAACACTGAGAGACAGAATACAACAACAAATTCAGCAGAAATGCGTCTAACAAATGATGACGGATCTGCATGTTCATGAGGGAAAGAAGGATTTGATCCCCTTCACAAAACATGACTTAGTACTTGGTGGCCAATCCCTTGTTGGCAATCACAGAGGTCAGACGTTTCCTGGAGTTGGCCCCCAGGTTTGCACACATCTCAGGAGGGATTTTGGCCCACTCCTCTTGGCAGATCCTCTCCAAGTCATTAAGGTTCGGTGGCTGACGTTTGGCAACTCGAACTTTCAGCTCCCTCCACAGATTTTCAATCGGATGAAGGTCTGGAGACTGGCTAGGCCACTCCAGGACCTTAATGTGCTTCTTCTTGAGCCGCTCCTTTGTTGCCTTGGCCGTGTGTTTTGGGTCATTGTCATGCTGGAACACCCATCCACCACCCATTTTCAATGCCCTGGCTGAGGGAAGAAGGTTCTCACCCAAGATTTGAGGGTACATTGCCCCGTCCATCGTCCCTTTGATGCGGTGCAGTTGTCCTGTCCCCTTAGCAGAAAAAACACCCCCAAAGAAGAATGTTTCCACCACCATGTTTCACAGTTGGGATGGTGTTCTTGGGGTCATAGGCAGCATTCCTCCTCCTCCAAACACGGCGAGTTGAGTTGATGCCAAAGAGCTGGATTTTGGTCTCCTCTGACCACAACACTTCCCACCAGTCCTCCTCGGCATCATTCAGATGTTCAGTGGCAGACTTCAGACGGGCCTGGACATGGGCTTTCTTGAGCAGAGGGACCTTGCGGGCACTGCAGGATTTCAGTCCTTGTCGGCGTAGTCTGTTACCAATTGAAGGTTCTCACCCAAGATTTTACGGTACATTATTTATATATATATATATATATGTATATATATATAATTTTTTTTTTTTGTTAGCAGAGGTCCCTAGAGAATAAAATGGTGCCCGTTGCAATTTTTTATGTCATGCAATATTCACACAGCCATTTTTCAGACACATTTTTAAAAAAAAACAAAACTTAAACGACAAAATATAACCCATTTTGTTGGTAAAATATAAAATATGGTGCTACCAATAAATAGATACCCAACATGTCATACTTTAAAACTGCATGTGCTCGTGGAATAGCGACAAACTGCGCTACTTAAAAATCTCCATACTGGACGTTTTATAAAAATGATTACAGGTTACCAGTAGTGGTGCCTCGAAACGAAAATTCTGTTGCCGAAAATTCAAAATGCCCTTGGCCTAAAACCGAAATGCGCAGTTTTTAGAAATGAATATATATTTTTTGGAAAAAAAATACACTTTGATTAAAAAAAAAAAT